CCCCACAAGTGAGGCATCTCGAGGTCGACCTCTGCCCCCCTGCCAACACAAATTGCGACCGGTCCGAGAGGTAGGAGGAGAACCACCGTAAGACGGTGCCCCCCAAACCCAACCCCTCTAACCGGTGCAACAAGATACCATGGTCGATGGTATCGAAAGCCGCTGAGAGATCTAACAGGACCAGGATAGAGGAGCAGCCATTATTCTCCTTTGAATCTAATTTCCAACACCCACAAATTCAGGAGGGCTCCTTCCCCGGAGCAGCCGCGTCCCAAAGTGGAAACAGCCCCGTCTCTTGTGGTGCTCGATCGGGGGGGGGGGGGTCAGGCTGGAACCCGCCCTCTGCAAACTCCTCCCAGGCATCTTTGGGGACACTGCAGGGACCTATGATGGGGGGAGGGTGCTGAGAGACGGGGCTCCCCTTTTCCTTCTGAAAACTGCTTGGCGCCCGTTCCTCCGCTGACTCTGCCCGCTGGGGGCCCCTCCTGCCTCCCAAAGGCCGGAAGCTGCTCTCCTGGTCCACGCCGTGGCCAGAGGACGACCCAGAGGGGGACGGATGGCCCACCTGGCAGCCTTGGGGCCAGCAGCTGGACTGTGCCAGCTGCTGGCCCTGCCCGCCCGGGCAAGGGCTTGTCGTGGGGCCAAAGCAGCCGTGGGAGGGGGGGCTTCCTTCCAGCCCCCACCCCAGCACCAGGAGCAGCACTTTCCAAGCCAGGGCCTGGGACTTCCGGCCGGCCTGGGGTCCAGGCCAGGTCCCGGCCTGGGCTCTGCCAAGCTACCTGGGCCGCCGTTGGGCTGCAGAGTCTCCTGGTTTCCCAGAGAACAAAATATTCGTGGAAAACATAAACCAACTGTCGTCAAAGCTGTCGGGTCTCAGGAAACGGATCGGCCGGGAGAAGGCGGCCATGTGGCCGGATGTTATGCGATTCTAATTAGCGCTGTACATCTTTCAGCGGGAGCGGCCGCCAGTGTCCGCTCGCTGGGAAGCAGGGCAAGGCCGGCCTTGTTATTGTAACTGTCAAGGAGCCCCAAAGCCCATCAGCGCCCGGGGGGGGGGGAAAGCGAGGAGCGCTTCAGGCCCTGCCCAGCAGGGGGCGCTGCAGGAGGAGGTGCCTCCCCGCCAGGAAGGAGAAGGGGGTGGAGGGGGGGCCAAGCCCGGACCACTTCCCCCCCCCTGCTGCCCTGGGGGTCCGATAAAGAGGAGGGCTCTCAAGCAGAGAGGAGAGACAATCCAGCCCTCCCGGAGGAGCAGGAGGAGGAGGAGGAGGAGGAGGAGGTCGTGGTTTACCAGACTAAATAACACCATCAGTGCTAGCAGAGAGGGGGGTTTGGGGAATGGAGGAGAGGAAGAAGAGGAGGAGGACTGTGGGGTCCTGGGGGTTGTCTGAGCGTAGTGGTTTTCTTGCAGACGTCTCATGACCCAACTAGGGAACATCATCAGTCGGGTCATGAAATATCTGCAAGAAGAGGAGGAGAAAGAAGGAAGGAAGGAAGGAGAAGGAAGGAAGGAAGAAGGGGAGTGGGGAGGAGGGGGAGGAGGAAGAGGAGGGGGGGAGGAGGAGGAGGAGGAAGGGTCCCAGACGGGAGCACCTTCTGCAGGCTGACCACTCGCGGATGCTGCTTGGCCTCCACCGGACCGTCCCTCCCTGCTCTGGACAACAGATGGACACAAGACAAGATCCGAGGCGAGGAGGACCCCCTAC